AAAATGGCAGCCGCGACGCATTTGCGCATGCGCAGGAGTACTGCGCATGCGCAAATGAGTGGCGGCCACCATTTTGGAAAACAAAATGACGGTCGCGAGTGGCTGCCGCCATTTTGTTCTCCAAACTGGCGGCTGCGATGCATTTGCGCATGCGTAGTACTCCTGTGCATGCTCAAACGCGTTGCAGCCGCCATTTTGGAGAACAAAATGGTGGTCGTGACATGCATGGAGGTGGCTGTGGCAGCACGGAAGGGACGACTTCGTGGGACCGGCCCCGGCTCAAAAAGGTTGCCTACCCCTGATCTACACTGTAGTAATGATGCAGCTCGACACCATTTTAAGTGCTATAGCTCTATCCTATGGAATCCTGGGAGCTGTAGTTTTACAAGGTCTATAACCTTCTCTGCCAAAGAGCGCTGATGCCTCACAAAATTACAGGATGGAGCCAGGGCAGTCGAGAAGTGGTGTGAAACTGCATCATCCCTACAGTGTAAATCAGGGACAGGCAACCTTTTTGAGACCTGGGCCGGTCTCAAAAGTGTTGCCTCTCGGCTGGGTTGAGGGGGGGGAAATGGCGGCGCGCGCGCTCATGCGCACGCGCACACCCTCCGCCACCGCACGCGACCCCCCTGCGCACGCAGCCGCCGCCATAGCGCACACTGCCGCAGCCGCCACGGCGCTCACCGTGGCCACCATTTTGGAAGTCAAAATGGCGGCCGTGACGCGTTTGCGCATGCGCAAGAGTACTGCGCATGCGCAAACACGTCGCGACCACTATTTTGACTTCTAAAATGGCGGCCGCGACGAGTGCGGCCGAAAACGTGCCCCAACAACGGCGCGCGGCAGCGGCAGTGGCAACCTTCGGCCTGGGCCGGTAAGTCCGGGGCCCAGGGCCTTAACCGGCCCCCGGGCTGTAGGTTGCTGGTCTCTGGTGTAGATGCACCACGAGGAGTTTCACAACTCCACCAAAGCATACCTCTGAGAATGCATCTCAACAAGAGAGGGTTCCTTGTTGAGATGCAAATAGACTTTAAATTTCCTGGTCTTTGCAAATCTGCCAATAGTCACATGGCCAGAAGGAGGAAGGGCCAGCTTGCAAAAGATACCCTTCATTTACCATCTTAACTATGGACAGAAACATCAAAATGCAGGCATCTGACTAACATCTCAATTGTTTTTTCTCCTGTTTGGTGTGTAACATCTTGCGTGATGAAGAAGCCCATGGAGCCTCGAAAGCTTGCAACAAGTCTATTGGGTATTTTGGTTGGCCAATAAAGGTATCACTGTTTTGTAGATTTTTGTTTGAATTTAAATTTCCTGGTCTTTGCAAATCTCCCAGTAGCCACCAAGGACAGAAAGAAGAAGGGCCAGCCTGCAAAAGATTCCCTCCACTTAATATCTTAACTAAGGACAGAAACATCAGAATGCAGGCATCTGACGAACATCTCCATTTTTCCTCTTATTTGGTTTGTACCATCTAGCCTGATGAAGAAGCCAGTGGAGCTTTGAAAGCTTGCAACAAGTATATTGTGCATTTTGGTTGGCCAATAAAAAGGTATCACTATTTGGTGGATTTTTGTTTCAATTTGCTAAATGGCCAACACAGCTACCCTGCATGGCACCTCTAAGGGATCACAAAACCAGGGTTAAACCCATTTTACTCTGGTGTCACAACAAACTACCCTGCCCAGAATTTCATAGCCTGGAGCCAGGGCACTTAAAGCAGTCTCAAACCGGATTATCCTTGCAGTGTGGATGCAGCCTGGCAGGGTGGCCTTTGCAGAGTGGAGACTAATGGCTCTTCCTGGCTGCAGTGGGTGCCTCCAGGAGATTTATGGCCAGGGTTAACTAAAAAGGCACCCTCCTTGGTTCCACTGGGGCTCGAACCCAGGACCTTCTGCGTGTAAAGCAGACGTGATAACCACTCCACTATGGAACCAAGACAACACTGCTTCTTTATGCCAGTCTCCTTCTGCTGCTGCAGCTGGATCGCCTCCTCCTCCTCCTCTTCCTCCTGTGGTCCCTCCTCTTCCCTGGCATCATGCCCTGTCACCAAAAGAGAGGCAGCCAGCTGAGCATCATCATCATCATCATCATCATCATCATCATCATCATCATAGATCCTTATCAGGAGTCAAGAAGGGCTGGCTTTCCCTGGGCAGACTCTCTGCAAAGCTGCTTTTTAAAGGCCTCACATTAGCTTTCACCTGTCAAAAGTCTTTCTTCTTCTCCCACCACCCCCCAGAAGGAGGACAAGGCACCCCAAAATGTAGGACTTCCAAGCCAAAAAAGAAAGAAAGAAAGAAAGAAATTCAAAACACTCATATCAATGTAAATCCCTGCTTCTTAGTCCTGCTCCAAATGGAGGACATTTTTGGAATTCCTCCTGGACAGAAGGCTGAAATGGAGGACACGTCCTGGGAAAGGAGGAACTCTGTGTGCACCCAGCACATCAGGCTTTATACAGCCAAATGCATGTATTTGATTTGTAGACACACACACACACACACACACACACACAAACAATGCCACAGATCTGCCTACTTTATCTTTATTTTTATTTTTTGGCTCCAGAGTCAGAGTCTTGTTCCATGGTTATCTTTAGAAACAAAGAAGGGATGGTTGTTGTTGTTGTGCGCCTTCGAGTCTTTTCCTATTTATGGTGAGTCATGGAGTTTTCTTGGCAAGTTTCTTCAGAGGAGGGTTGCCATTGCCCCCTCTGAGGCTGAGAGAGTGTGACTTGTCCAGGGTCACCCAGTGGGGTCCAGGGATGGTACTTGGAAGTAACTCCAACCCATACTGGACACACACACACACACACACACACGTGTGTGTGTGTGTGT